CCTACCCCAGTGGTCCCGAGTATAAGACTTGCTTCCTGTGTGTTAGCAAGGGACACTGCAGACTTCCTGCGTCCCTGTGGGACTCCCTGGAGCCCCGCCTGGCGTGCACTGAGCCCAAGGACCTCTGGCGGTCTGCCCAGAGACTGCCCTTAGCCGTGCCCACCCTAGGATTCCCGAGCCACGCCAAGTCGAGTTTGAGAACCACCCCAAGGGTCTTGAGGATCCTGGGGCCCGTTATCCCTTGATGGGAAAGAGCACTCGCCCCGCCTGCCCTGGGGGTTCCTCCTCCTGCACTGGGAGCCAGTTCTGCAGGCCTGAGTCTCTGTTCCCCTCCTTGGAGTGAAGCAGGGTGATGACCAGCACCTGGAGGCTCCCCCACCCCATCCAGAGCCCTGTGGGCTGCCCACCTGCCCTCGGGCGGGAGCATGAGTCTCCCTCTCCTCTCCAGGCCCCACTGCCATCCAGCCAGGTGGGCCCCCACCTTCTGTTTACTTAATTCTTTGAGTGTCCCAGCCCGTCCACGGCCCCAGGGGCATTTCTCTAGTAGGACAGCAACGGCCTGAGTCCTTCCCTCTCCGCCTCCTCCTTCCCTCCCCTTCCTCCTGTAGTCACTGAGCACCTGTCTGCACCAGTGGCCAGGTGAGTCCCCAGACACTGAGATGGTGGCAGGGGAGTGGGGCAGAGAGGATTAGTGGGGTGGGGAGAGGTGGGCCCATCGCCTGATGCAGGCCCCGCTCACCGCCCACAGCACTGGCCGAACCTCTGGCCTGGTCCTGGGGCTGGCAAACCTGGGGGTTGGTACAGATTCCCCAGGAGCCTGTGGACTGGGCAGGGGGCTCCTCTAAATCTAGAAACCTGGAAGGCCTCGGGCGCCAACTGGTGCTATATGGGAAGAAGCCACAAGGTGGCAGCAGAGGATCAATGGTGTCCCTGACTCAGCCCTGAGCCTGCAGGTGTCCCAAAGCCTAATCTGCTGGCTGCAGCTGGAGCGGAGCTGAGCTGGTCTCTGTACCAGGCCCTGGGGCCATGCAGTCAGCACCCTGACAAGGGAGGGGGTGCATGCGTGTGTGGGCGCTGCCTGTGTGTAGGCATGTGCACACGCGTGTATATGTATGTGTGCATGTGCATGCGCTGTGTGCAAGTGTGCACATCTGTGTGTGTGCATGAATGTGCATGTGCATGACTGTAAACATGTATGTGTGTGTTGTGTGGACACCTGCTGCGTGTGTGCAAAGGGGTTCAGGTGCAGGTGGATGCACGTGGGGACATGCACATTGCACTTGTGTGTCATTATTGACTTGGGTCTCCTTACTTTGTCTCTGGGAATCAAGGAAGCCGGGTGACAGGTGCTGGAGCTGCCACTGAAGACTGTGGGATGAGGCCCGGCCACTACCCGCAGCAGTCAGCCCCTGCATGGGGGTCCTTGTGGCTTTGAGACCAGCGCTGCAGGCCAAGCAAGGGAAGGACAGCGTGGGGAAGGGTGGAGATGAGGAGAAGTAGGTGGCAGGGAGCACCCGTGTCCCTGGGGCTCAGGAGACCTTGGGGTTCAAGTGGCCTCGTCGAGCAGAGATGGAGGGGAGTGAGGGCGAGAGGCCGTGGGTGTGGAGGGGAGTCCCAGGCACCCTGAGGGGGCTGTGCAGGTGGAGGTCAAGGGCAGCAAGGAGCAGCGAGGAGGAGGCACTGGAGAAGTCAAGCAGAGGCGGGAGCTCGGCTGGGTCCACCAGCCCCGGGGCCTCTCCTCTGCCTGGAGGCCTTCCCTCCCTCTCAGCCTCCTGCCTCAAAGCCCAGCAGGCTGGACTCTGTCCCCACGAGCAGCCCATCAGGTCCCTGAGGGCAGGGCCACACACAGCTAGGAATCTAGCTACCTCCACCATTGAGCTGCTGCGTGATCTTGGACATATCCTAACCTCTCTGTGCTTTGTTTCCCCATCTGCAAAACAGGGATAACGGGCGGGTTGTCATGAGGAAACCAAACAGCCCCTGGCTCAGAGTTAGGGCTCTATAGTTATTAGCTGCGATTCTCATCCCTGGGCCCAAGTCTTGGCTGCATCTGACCTTGACAAGTCAGTTAGCATCTGGGTCTCCAAAGCACGAGTCACTGTCACCAGGCATTTGTCCCGTGTGGAAACACACATGCACACAGCGGGGTCATCTGAGCTCTGTCTTCTCTCCCGGTGATGATGGGCTGAAGGGAAGTTCCATGAGTGGGGTGGTGTGGCCTGTTGGTGCTAGTCATCAGGAAGTCACCAGCTCCAGCACCGCGCCTGGCAAACAGGTGCTCAAAAATAATTTATCAAATAAGTGAAAAACGTGGATGTTGCTCATTTGTACCTTGCCTCACGGGGCTGCTGTCAGGAAGGCACTAGGCGCTCCTCTCCCTGGCTGCTATCATAGATATGAACACCAGGGGGAAGCACAGGACCGGGTCAGGGCCGCCTAACTACCACACAGCAGGAAGAGGGGTCCTGCCACAGCTCCCCCTACCCGTGGGTGGGACACCTTTAAACAACCCTCCCTGCTGGGTGCCAGGGAGCTATAGGCCCTCTCAGATTCTTTCATAGGGCTCAGCCTAGCAGGAGACCATCTGGGACTACATTATTAAAGGAAGGGGTTTTATCTGCCGGTGGCACACAGGATATGCTGAGCACAATGACCCTGTGTGTCAAGCTGAGATGTTCCGGGCTGTGGTGGTTATACAAGAGCTAAACAGGTGAAGAGGGAGTGGGTGGGGGAAACTGCTCAGAGAGAGG